CGCTGCATCTTTCCCGAGCGCATCTACCAGGGCTCCAGCGGAAGCTACTTCGTCAAGGACCCTCAGGGGGTGAGAGCGGGGGTGGGACCGCAGCGCAGCGGGCGGGTGGGGTTCCGGGGAGTTTGGGGCTTCGCACAACACGAGAGGGAAGGGGGCTGAAAGGCTGCAGCGGGGAGAAACTTGTACGCCCCGGCAGGATTTCGGGAGGCCACTGACGTCGGGAGTTAGGGAAGCTCTGCGGAATGAAGAAATAAATCAGAACCTATGTGGTGGGGGAGGAGTGAGCGGAAAAGGAAAAGAGGAAATTGACCAGATACAGGCCAGGGGCTCGGCGGTGTTCCGGGACGATCTGCCTCGGGTCAGGCAGGCCGGAGAGACACTGCTTTCTAGCTGGTTCCTTACCGCTGGGACTACTGTAATGTTTGGCTGTCGACCCACAGGTTCGGGGCCGACCAGCGTATCGCTGCTCTTCCAGGCGGGTGGTGACAGCAGGGGCTCTGAGGAGTCAGCCCCAGCCTTCGTGTTGTGGGCATGTCCCCTCCCTCCACCCCAGGTCTCGGTGAAGGACGTTGATGCTGGAGTGGGTGGGCGCACCAGTTTCATCTGTCCTGGGTTTTGCTCACTTCTGGGAAAAGATTCAAATCCTTTTTGATGGTTCCTCAGTTTAGAATGTGAAGTTTGAGAAGCATGGGACTGTCAGCTGCCTTTTACTTTCATTTCTCTCCCAGAGCTTTCAGCAGTTTGCTTTCAGCTAAAGCAGAGGTTTGCTGACAACCCCCCCACCCCCTTTGTCTCCCGTTTGGCTGTAAAGAAGGGTGGGGATGGGATGGAGCATGGAGTAACCAGGGCAGCTGAGGAGTGACCTGTATTCTTTTAAAAACCACACCAGGGGGCAAGGGTCAGGTGATGTGGTGGTTAATCAGCTTGGTTCCACGTGGCCCACTGTGGGGGTTCGGTTTCTGGACCCTGCAACTGGAAACACTCTAGGCACTGTGCACATTGTTGGTGCCCAAAAGTCCCAAGAAGGGAATGGAGGAGAAGGGACTGTGGCTTGGCTATCCCCCTTGCGGGGTGATTTCTCATTTTCTCTCCCTCTTAGATTACTATAGAGGTGTACACTTGCTTGCCAAAGATACAGAGATATTCTCTCTTTCTCTGTGTTTGTGGCAAACAAGTGTTTGCACCCTATATAGAACTAAAAAAAAAAAAGTTGTAGAAGAATCAAGGCATTTGACTCAGATCAAAATAGGGATATATCGTACAAAGAGCAGTGGGTCAAAAAAATACCAAGTCTTCCCTGCCTCAAGTTCTCAGATGTGACTGAGTGGTGCATTGAATAGGCATATGATTGTTACCCTGTCTGTCTCCTGGGTGAACCCTTAAATGGGCAGTGTACTGTTTGATATGAGTCCTGAGAGGCCAGGATGGACTGTGACTTGTAGCTTTTGTTTAGTTTCATTGACCTCGTTATTTAGATTCATTGACCTCGTTATTCACTCTGAGTTAGAGTCAGCCCTGAATTATCAGGAGCTAGAGAGTAGGCCCCGCTACAGTGGTGCAGTTGATAGGGTGCCGCTGTGTGGCGCTGGAGCCGCCTGGGAGTCCCGAGTTCAGATCCTGGGTTGACCTGAACACACAGTGTCCACACTTGTGCTTGTGCTCTTGGCTGACAGACTTGGGGGAGGATCAGGTAGGGCAAGACCCTGCCATCGTTACCTCTCTCTCTTTAGAAGGGGAGAGAGAAACTAAAAACAGAAAGCAATTTGACCATCATTTCCTTTTTTTTTTTTTGGAGAGATTTTTTTGCTATACAGCGTGTGTGGCGTGAGTTTAAGTCACTGGGTCTGGGACTGGAACCGCGGTTGACTATGTGGGAGTCCAGTGACATAGCCATTATGCCAGTTGCTGGTCCCAGGAACCATCATTTCTAGAAGCAACAAAAAGGTGTCTTTAAGTCTAAATGTTGGCAAGATGCTTTTATCTTTTTTATTTGGGAACAGAATGAGACCTAAAATATGAGGCATTTGTTTTGTAGCTTGTTGGCTGGGTAAGAAGGGCGAAGATGATCTTTGATAGGTACAGGAGGAGGAGGCAGCTTGTCGTTTTCCTTTCGTGACACTGTTACAGCTACGTCAGCATCAGCTATGTGGAAGTGTGTCAGCTCAGCTGGGGAGTGATCTGGTGCTCTAACAGGTGGGAATAAACCGATCTCACAATCCTACCAGACAGGCAAAGTACTACATCTCAGTGCACCTTGTAGGCCACAGAGAACGACAGACCACCAGTCTGTTTCTTGGTGATTTTCAGGATCTCAGTCTCTAACCCTTCCTTGGCCACCGTCCTTTCTTGGAGGGGAAGTCAAAACACAGATGCTTTGACAAAGCTTATTAATGTAACCATCCTGTTCCCACTAAGGACAATGTGGTTTAGAAAGGGGACCACTTCCTGAATACTGTGGTAGGTTAGAGTGGCCCGCAGACCCACTGTTGTTGGTTTTGTCATCTTCGTCTCTGCTCCAGATGTGTATATTTATTCTGTGTAACACTTGCATAGCACTTAGTATACTGCCTGCCAGGTACTGTCTGAAGTGCTTTACAGATGATAACTCAATTCTCATCACCACCCTCGGCGGTAGATCCTGTTATTACCCCGCAGATGACAAAACTGAGGCACAGCGTAGAACTCATTTGCCCAAGGTCTCACAGCCTGGAAGTGGAACATGCAGAACTGGTCGACTGGTTCCGGAGGTCATGCTCCTAGCCATTGTGTGCTCCAAGTCATCTGAATTTCTGGTCTCTCTTCTTAGTTACTATATTGGTTAGTATCGAATTTGGCTATGTGTGACAGACTCTTTTTTTTTTTAAATTGAATTTGCTGTAGGGGGCCTGTGGTCTCCAGAGAGACAGAGAGAGAGAGAAAGGGAAAGTGAAAGTGAGAAAGCGCTTCTCACTTCTCCATTCTCCTCTCGGGATTTTGGGCATGCATATACATACCCAGCAAGTTTTTCAAGCTGCTGGGTCTGGGACTTGAACTGCGTATTTGGCCGTGTGGCATTCAGCCTCTTCAACCACCATGCCACTGAGATGTTTCACAATAATAATGACTCGAAAAAGGTCATCATTATCTTATCTTCTTATCTCTCACATAAAAGAGTCTACAGGCTGCTCAGGACTGGCATGGCAGTTCACTTTATCGGGGGGCATAGGCTCTTTCCATCCAGTCTATCAGCTGTCCTTAGTGTGTGACTTCCGCTTCATGATGCAGAATGGCTGCTCAACCCACGGACATCTCATCGACTTTTCAACTTGTTGAAAGAAGGAAGGGAGAGGGAGACTGTGCCCCCAGCCTTCTAGGTACTTCCTCCAAGTTGCTCTAGACTCTTCTCCTTACGTCTCATTGTCTCGAACTTAGCTGGAGTGGCTGGGAGCTATAGTCTTTATTTTGCTCTGTTAAAAATCAGGGTTCTTGTGTTCAAAGAAGAAAAGAGAGGAGAGATTGGGGGAACCAGCAGCTTTTGTGACAGGTACTTTTGGAACTTAGACATTCCTAGAGATTTTTGCCCTAAGGCAGGTGTGCTTGCCAGAGACAGAGACAGACAAAGCAAAGAAATCATCCCCTGGAGGAATGGTCATGCTTGCTGCAGTCCCATCTCCATTTTCCCCTCCAGATTTTGGGCACATGTGCATACGTGCCCAGCATGAGTTTTAAGCCACTGGGTCTGGGACTTGAACCTTGGTCAACTATGTGGCCATCCAGTGATACAACCATTATGCCATCTGCTGGTCACTCTAAAGATTATTATTATTTCTTTAAGAATTCATTATTTAATTTTATTTATTATTTTTAAAAGTTAATCAGAGAGAGACAGAGAGAGAGAAAGCAAGCTGCCAGGTCAAGGACTCAAATTGATGTTGGCCATGTAGGAGTTTAGTGCCTTAACCATCATGCCACCTGCTGACCCTGTCATTCCTAATGGTTCTTGAAGACAATAGCCCTGATTCCATTTCCCAATTTAGGATTATTTCTGCCCAAGTGGAACCTGAAAGAATAAGATGTAAAATACTAGATTTGAAGTTGTGGTGGAGAGTGCTGAACATTAATTACTTTCCTCACTTAACATCCTTGTGCTTTAGGTCTCAGGTTCACTCAACTACAGAATTATTTTTTGAACAGTTTTTCTTTTGTATGGCCAGTAATGCTAAGTATTTGTATTGCCAAGAATCACATAATAGCATGTGATTTACTAGTGTAAGAGGATTAAGTGAGAGCTCATACATGAAAGCATAATTGGCATAGTTCCTGGTGCTTAGTGGGAGCTCAGATTTATTTTTTATTTTTATTTTTTTTAGGATTTCACCATAGGGAGTGTGCTTGCTAGAGAGAGACAGTGAGAAGCAAAGTGAGAAATCACCCCCAGGGGGATGGCCACACCATAATCCCTTCTCCTTCATTTCCATCTCGGGACTTTGGGTATGCATGCACACATGCCTGGCGTGATTTTCAAGCCACTGAGTCCAGGGCTCGAACCGTGGTTGGCAATGTGGGAGTCCAGTGCCTTAATCACCATGCCGCCTGTCGGCCCCATTTTGTTTTGTTTTGTTTTGTTTTGAGGCTATATATCTACTGACTTCTAGTTTAGGTTTTCTTAGATACATGGCATCGAATAATGCACAAGTATAGTAATTCTGAGAAGATGCTTTCATAATGCTGATTGTGGGGCTGGAAAGTGGCACAGTGTTTTTTTTTTTTAAAGGTCTTCGCCATAGGGCATATGAGCTCACAGAGAGAGACAGAGAGAAAGTGAGAAACCACCCCCCCCCAGGAGGAATGGCCACCCCACAATCCCTCCTCAATTTTTTTGGGATTTTAGGAACATGTGCATACGTGCCCAGCATGTTTTTCAAGCCACTGGCTCTAGGACTCGAACTGCTTAGTCAGCAATGTAGGATGCAGCTGCCTGGCCTCAGGACCCCATTTTCTTTTAGGGTTTCAAGTTTGGGAAACAGCCCATATTTCCCTTTCATAAAAGTTAACATGCAGGGCCAGGAGGTGGCATAGTGGCTAAAGAG